GTCCCGGACTAGAAAGCAATAGATTTCTTGCTTCTGCCACAAATTCCCCCAGCTCTGAGCCTTCTAACCTTCTAAGTATTCCTTTATATGTGGTTCAGAGTTCTGGGACCATCCCCTGAACCTGCTTGGTCGGGTATTCTATGTTGTTGTTGGCAGAGCTCTCTGCTATACGTCCACCCGATCCGCCATCTTGTTTGTTCTCCACCCCTGAATACTGTTTTTATTAGCACAGCTTGGTCAACTGTCTCTCAAAACTGCAGTGGGGAAAAGGTAGTTGCCAAAGAAAAAATAGGGTTTCATCATTAAAAGCAGGAGAAATAGATGCCAGACAAGCAGAAATGACAGGTGATTAATGCAGTACAGATTTCCCCTACTATTTCAATAGCTGAAATAGTAGAAAGTGAGGAAGAAAAACGCACAGGCCTTGGGTGCTGTGAAGGAATTTTGAATAGAATCACACAGTTTTTGAGTCTATGCTTTTTGACTTTTCTCTCCTTCAGGATAAAGTTCAAGCTCAACAAAGACATAGCGCTCACTGTCGGCGTTTATAATCTGGTCCAGAAGGCGTTTAGGCCTCCCCCTGTGAGGCTGTATCGGGAAACAAATGAGCCTGTGAAAACTAAGACCCGGACGTTTAATGTAAACGATGGCAGTTTGCTTCTGCCCAGTGACACCAAGAGGTCTCAGGTAGCTCTCCCTCCTTACTGAATTTGTATCCCATTGTCCAGCTCCCGGGGAGCAGGGTCTGCTCAGCCTCTCCACTGAAACTCTCAGGCGTGTCTTTCTAGTCCAGCTTGTTTGGAACTGTGGTGTCTACATCAGTAGTCTCTCTCGTTCTCCCCCCGCACCTCCCAACTGATTTTGTTTTTGTGTATCACAGATTTATTTAGGAAGGTGCATTATGGCTCCTAAAGTATAGCATTTAAAATTTTTAGCATGTTTTCTATGAATGTTTACATTTGACAATTTCTACACAAGTTCTCCATTGACATTTGTTGTACTCTTTTCCATTCTGGTGGTTCTGTTTCCATTAATCTAGTTTCCCTGCCCCTTATATTTTTGTCTTAGTGTTAAAGTAATTATTGGCTGTTTGATCTCATGTCATTGATTTGTTAAGGGCGCACAGTACTTACAGGTGATAATATTGTTTTCAGTCTATCTGTTATTTAGCTACACGGTGATCACAGTGGTTAGTTTGGGTTCATAGTTTGAAGAGTATCTCAGGTTAATTATCTCGAGGCATTCTCCAGTCTTAGTTCAGTACTTCGGCTTTTTGTGGGGTTGTTTTTTAAAATAATTTGAAGTTCTGTTCTACTTTTTGTCTCCCAGTCTATCAGGGTCCATCTCTTGTGCCCTGTATTAGAATGGTTGGTAGTGGCAGCCTGGCACCATCTAGTTCTTCTGCTTATAGGGTGGTTGAGGCGATGGTTAGACTATTTACCCTGTAGACTAGTTTCTTCTTAAATTTTAGCATGTTAAAGCTACAATAATAAAAGCTTATACGTGCCCAGAGGCTCCTGGTGCAGTGCTATGGGATCAGCACCAGACTGTGAACTGCAAGGTGGGCAGTTCAAACCCACCATCTGTTCCTCGGAAACCGACCCTATACAGCATTGTTAATGAGTCAAAATCAACTCAACAGCATCGAATAGCATATGTGCCTAAAGGGAGCCTTGGTACTGTAGGATAAGCACAAGGTCTGTGGTTCAAACCCCCCAGCAGCTCCGGGGAGAAAGACAAGCCTGTCTTGCTCTCCTTTGTGGAGAAGATCAGAAACGTCCCCTCCCATTTTGGAAGTGGCTGGTTTTCTATGTTGCAGCATTCGCAGGCAGTAGCCCTTCCAGACACTGGGTCTTTTTCTTGATCAATTGGTCTGAAAAGCCTGTGGGGCTCTGCTTGTATTATGGAAACCCGCATTTGACTCTCTTGCTGCTGCTAATTATGTATCCAGGGCCAGACGGCCAACATTAAAGTTCAGAAGTGCTATGCATCCATGTGTACCTGCCTCGTGCACTAACTGGGACAAGCACAGTGCCTTAAGTCAGCCCTCTCAGTCAACACGTAAGCAGGCCTGAGCACTGACAGGCGACCTGGTGGCACAATGCTAAGATGCTCGACTGCTAACTGAAAGATTAGCAATTGGGACCCACCAGTCTGCTCGGTGGACGAAAGATGTGGCAGTCAGCTTTAAGAGTACAGATTTATAGCTTTGGAAGCCCTATGGAGTGGTTCTGCTTTGTCCTACAGGGTCCCTGTGAATCACACTTGACTCCATGGCAGTGGGTTTGGCTTTTGGCTTTGAGCTTCTTATATCAAGGATGGTGCCCAGGTCTGGGAGCTCAGTGCCTGTTCAAAGAGGACGGGAATGAAGAGTTGGACAGTATGGCCTTTGGCATCAGACAGGTCTGAGTTACAGGCTCAGTTCAGTTTTCTATCCCAGAGCAATTTCCCCAACATGGAGCTCAGTTCACTCATCTGTAGAACAGGATGTGTACGGTCTCCTTCATAGGATTGTTGGTGGTGGCTGTGTGCCGTGGAGTCAGTTCCGACTCATAGCGACCCTGCATAGGGTTTTCGAGGCTGTAAGCCTTTACCGGAGCAGAAAGCCTCATCTTTCGCCCGCGGAACCATTGACCTTGATTGAGATTAGCAGCCTGATTCGTAGCTACTACATTACCAGAGCTCCTTCATAGGATTGTTATAGAAGATAAATTAGGGGACAAGTGTACCGTGCCTGGCAGGCACTCAGTAAATGTTCATTCCCTGCAATAGGAGGATGTCTCTAGGGAACCATCTTGGTAGTGCTGTAGGTTAAGCACTGGATTGCTAACTACAAGGTTGGCAGTTCAAACCCACCAGCAGCTCCATGGAAGAACGATTAGGCTATCTGTGCCTGTAAAGACTTTCAGTCTTGGAAACCCTATGTAGGGTCCCTGTGAATCAGAGTTGGGTAGTGGGCTTGGTTTGGTTTGATTAGTGTCATGTCGCAGCCGTCTAGTGTCTCCGGTAGTCGCTCTCTGTGGCTCCTGGTTTCCCCATCCTTTGCAGCTATGGGGAGTCCCTGGGTGGCACACATAGTTAAGTACTCGCTGCTAATTGGTTGTCAGTTCAAGTCCACCTAGAGGCAGTTGACTTTCAAAAGTTCCGCTATTAAAATTCCTATAGAGTACATTTCTATAGACGCATATATGGGGACACTGGGACTCAGAGTAAGCATGACACAAGGCTTTTATTTTCTTTAAAGACCTATGGGAGTCGTCAGATTGTACTTGAGAAAGAGGAAACGGAACAGCTCAAACGGTTTGATGAACCAGGTCTGAGTCTCATCGGTTTCAAGCCATTGGTCATGCTAAAGAAGCACCATTACCTGCGGCCCTCGCTGTTTGTGTACCCCGAGGAGTCCTTGGTGACCGGTGAGTGGTGCTGACTAGGGAGAGCTGGGTGCCGCGTGTCCTGACTGGGTGCTACCTGAAAACTGTCCAAGGGATGGTCAGGGGATCGGGGATATTTGACATGCTTTCTGCACAAATAAATTTTGGAAAAACAGGGCTAACCAAAGCTAAACAAGTTGCTTTACAACCTTTAATGTGCACACATCCAGGAGGGACATATAGAATTCAGCGTTTGTTTTTTTCTAATGACTCTATGAAGCCCTTTCTTTGAGACATATACACACATGCTTCTTTGCAGTCTTATAAAGATGACGTGTATTCTGCCATTGTACATGTTTGCACTCTGCAGACCGATCTGCTGGGCTCTGCCCCCAATTGGTTTTCATGAGCAAACACCGGGCTCATTGCATTGCCCTAATGTCAGTAGGAAGCGAATGGACACTAAGAATTCACCTTCCTACAGGGAATGTTGGAGGCTTTCAGACCTCTTATTCCTTCTCTTTCTAAACTCTTCCCCTCTCCCCTGACTCCGCTTCAGCCCTGGGTCCATCGTCCCTTATCTGTTGTAAGCTCTCTTAAGAAAATGGACAAGAAATGGTAGGTGAAGAACACGGCTTAGGAGGGTGGAAAGGAGGCGCCATCTTCAGGCTGTAGACTCTTGGGGCCTGTGTCTTCCAGGAAGCACAGCCCTGTTCAGTGCTCTACTCACCAAATGCCTGGAGAAGAAGGTCATGGCAGTGTGCAGATACATACCCCGCAAGAACAGCCCCCCTTACTTTGTGACGTTGGTGCCACAGGAAGAGGAGCTGGATGACCAGAAAATTCAGGTGACTCCCCCAGGTATGTGGAAATCACTCCTGGAAACCCAGACCTACTGAGTGGGGCCTGGGAAGTGGGTTGTTTTAAGGTTTCACAGGTAAATTTGATGCACAGTCAGCTAAGGCTGCCAAATATAGTTGTGCAGCGCACAACATGCACAACTGTATTGGGTGGTTCTGTGGTCAGGGCTGAGTGTTAGCTCTTTAGGGGCCATTTGCAGGTTACTTGGTACGACTCCTTGGGGCCTCATTGCCAACACTTTACAAAAAGCCTTTGTCATCCTTGTGATGGGTAATGTTCGCTTCATCTCCTGTATGCCCCAATGTAGTGAAGAGACCAGAGGCTTTGAGGTCAGACTTGGCTGTATCTTTTATACTGTGTGACTGAAAGCTTGCCTTTTGTTCAAGCCCATTGCTTCCGCTCTTTGGCTTGCTAACTTGGGCAAGGCATTTAATTCTTTCCTTTAGATCATTTGACTGCAGAAATGGAAATACTGGGACACTTCTCTCTCAAGGTGGTTTTGCATTTGAGATAAGTTAATGTGTGTACAAGTGTCTAGCGCAAAATAGTCCGCAGTTTTGGTAGTTTTCCTTCTTCACCCTGCTAATAAAACGTGATAAAGTAACTCTCTGAATGTATCTCTAGCCCTGTCTTCTGAGAACTCAGGAGTAGATGTGTGTGTTGGTTATAAAGCTCCTGCCTCTCAGATCCTGATCCACCTGGCTGGGCTCTTGTGCTGCTAGGGCTGGTACCATGGCTTGGGTCAGGCTTTCCTTAATCCTCAAAATGACATTTCTACTTTTTAACCCTATGAAGGGTGCCTTTGCCACAGTTAATGCCCAGTGTAGTATGTCATTTGATTTCTTGACTGCTGCTTCCTTGATCATTGATTTTGAATCCAAGTAAAATGAATTCTTGGACAACTTCTATGTTTTTTGTTTATTATGTTGTCGTTTCTTGGTCTCGTTGTGAGGACTTTTGTTTTCTTTATGTCGAGATATATACTCCATACTGAAGGCTTTGATCTTTGCACTTCATTGGTAAGTGCTTCTAGTCCTCCTTGCTTTTAGCAAACAGGGTTGTGTCATAAGCATATCACAGGTTGTTAATGAATCTTCTTCTAATCCGGATACTGTATTCTTCCTATAGTCTAGTTTCTCATCCTACAGCTTGAATAAATGTTGTAAAAACATTACAACTCTGCAGCACACCTTTCCTGACTTTAAACCACACAGTGTTCCTTTGTTCCATCCAAACGGCTGCTTCTTAGTCTGTGTGTACGCTCTGCATGAGCGCAATGCACTGTTCTGGAATTCCCAACTTTTGCAGTGTTAGCCGTAATTTATTGTATCCACATAGTTGAATGTTGTTGCACAGTCAGTAAAATACAGGCAGGCATCTTTCTGGTAGTCTCTGCTTTCAGTCACGATCCATGTGACATCAGCAGTGGTATCCCTCATTACGTATCTTTTGAATCCGGCTTGAATTTCTGGCAGTTCTTGATAGTATACTGCTGAAACTGGTTTTGAATTATGTTCAGCAACTCTTTGCTTGAGTGTAATATTAATGATAGTGTTTGATAATTTCTGTGCATTTTATTGGATCACCATAGAATGGTGATCCCAAAAAAATGGTTTGTCGTCCTGTGGTGGCTTGTCAGTTGCTGTGATTCTGGAAGCTATGCCACCGGTATTTTAAATACCAGCAGGGTCACCCACAGTGGACAGGTTTCAGATGAGCTTCCCAGACAAAGACAGACTAGGAAGAAAGAGTGATGAACTACTTCCAAATATTTAGTCACTGAAAACCTTATGA